CGAAAAAGTCGCTGCTTTACCAAAACACAACATTTAAAGCAGTAAATCATTGATCACTAACTTACATAAGTTAGTTGACGCGCTTTAGAAGTATTTAAGTGTTTAAAGCGCGTCAACTAACCTATATATGAACCTATATATGCTATATTTTCTAAACTTTTTTTGTTAATAACTTTTTAACGAATAGCGAGCGACGGCTAAAACCTTCTGAAGGTCACTCGGGGTCATGACCTTGACAACATATATCAAGGTCATTGAAATTGTTGAGGTCGCCAAACTTTTTTTTGTTAATAACTTTTTAATAAAAAACGAGCGACGGCTAAAACCTTCTGAAGGTCACTCAGGAGGGTGACCTTGACAACATATGTTAAGGTCAAGGTCATCGGAGGTGCTTCCCCTAAACTGCATAATTACCATCTTTTTTTGTAATTATGCTCAATTTCTAGGATGCGTGCATTTTCCCAGTCAAATGAACGATTGTATTTTGTGGTATGCTCTGAGACAACTGAATGTTTGGACTCGTCTAATCTTATATTGCTTTTATGTTCCTTTAATCTGGTTTGTAATTGCCTCTTCGTCTGACCGACGTAAGAGGCATCACAATTTTTACAACAGATTTTGTAAATTACGTTATTATTGGAAAAATGGGCGTTTTTATCTTTATGGTCCTTAATGATGCTACTAAGATTGTTAAGAGTGCGGTATCCCACAGAATTTTCAGATTTATCGACTGCTGAGGCGATGATTTCGGAAGTATGTTTTAAATACGGCATAACAATAAAACTTTTTATTTGCTGTGCACATTCGGAATTATTACCCGTATTATTCTTTGTGGACTGAAGTTTCCTCAGTCTTTTATTAATATGCAAGAATATTAGATCGATGGGATATCCGTTTCCAAGCAATACATTGATGACAAAATTTAAATTTTTATTATAAAAGCTGGGATGTGATAACATGATTGCTCTGTCCACTAGGCTATAGATTGTTCCTATTTTGTGTTGAATAGGATGATTAGAAAAGAAGGACAATAGCCTACCAGAAAAAGTTTCTTTGTGGAACTAATCTGTTATAATCGTGTCTCCCCTTACAATCAACATCAAATCCAGAAAGCTAAAACGGCCATTATTTTCGTACTTTATTGTAAAATTAAGTCTATCATGATAACTATTAAAGTGATCCAGAACATCCTGAACGTTATCCTTAGGGATCTTCATAACAATGTCGTCCACATAGCGCTTGTAAAACGATAGATGGAAGTCCAATGCGCCCAAAACCCTTTTCTCCAAATCTTTCATAACAATGTCGGCCACTGTCGGCAAATGTCTGCTTATAGGTAACACCGTTAAACGTGAAAAAAATGGAAGCCAATACAAATTTGACTGCAGTAATAAATTCAGTACGAGATAAACTTGTTTTCGTTTTTATAAATTTCCATCTCTTTTTTAAACCCTCCACGATCAATTCAGATGGAATATTCGTAAACAGTGATACCGCGTCCAATGAGATCAAAATCTCCGACTTCTGCACTTTTATTTTCGATAGGTCAGTACACAATTCAAAACTGTTGTTGACGTGGCTCTTTGGTTTTGGTAAACTATCAACTAAAATTTTTTGCAGAAAAGCTGCAAGATTATACAGTACCGTGTTGACAGATGAGACTATTATTCTAAAAGGAACGTTCTTTTTGTGAATCTTTGGAAGACCATAAGCTTTTGGAAGTGTAGAATCGCTGGAATGTAGGAAAAAATATTGTTTCTTAGAAATATATTCCTTCTGTATCCACTTTTTAATCAAAGCATTTAGTTCCCTTTCCATTTTGGCGTATGGATTTCTTTTGACAACTTTATAGGTATCTTTGTCACTTAATAACGTTTCCATTTTTTGAATATATTCGTTTTTGTCTAATGCTACCGTGACGTTACCTTTGTCGGCTCTTGTAAAAATAACATCCGGATTGTTTTTCTTTAAAATTGGCACGCGGAGTTAATGAAAATTGTAGCGTTGGATCGAATTGATTTGTTTTGTTCGTAGAATAATGCGATATATTATAATGCATTTTTCTTTATAATTTTTTTTATTGTTTTGAAGAAGGCCAAGTAAGGCACGAAACGTAAACAAGTCTGTATTAATATACATTCAATAATAATTCAATAATAATTTATTGAATGTATTAAATATTTTTCTAACATCTGGTAATAGCTCGAAATTGGCCGTTTGTAAATTATTTAGGTTTAAAATGTTCCAATACGTCGAGAAATCATATTAGTAGAAAATGTCCGGAAGTATGTATGTATGTGTGTGTGTACGGATTTTTTGTACACGCATCTACTTCTACAATTTTTTAGATACCGGGTTGAAATTTGGCACACAAATAGAGTATCATAGAAAGTATGTTTTCCTATAATTTTATTAAAATCCGTCAACTGGTATGGATTTTAAGGGAATTTTCATTTTTCAGAAAAGCGTGTTTTACGCTGTAGCTTTCTCAATATTTGAGATATCGATCAATTTCTAATTCTATTATATTTTTCAATTTTTTCTACCCCTATTTCATATATAATTCTTTAAGATTTGATTGATTAGATCCGTTTTTATGTGATCAAAGAGCCATAATTTTTTTAGAAATGTGTGTGGCAAATTTTGAAATATCGGGCTATTTATAGTTTTATTATATTCTTAGCTTAATTGTGTAGATCAGATCATGACCTAAGATCGGTATGATTCAAGCAATTAAGTCAAGATCGGGGCATGATCCAGACAATTAAGCCAAGATCCGGGGCATGATCTAGACAATTATGTCAAGATCGGGGCATGATCCGGACAATTAAGCCAAGATCGAGAGACGATCCAGACAATTAAGCCAAGGGGTGTTTACGTCTAGCAATCGGATTTGCAATCGGATTAATCGCAATTATATCAACCGACTAAGGAAAAAGTTCCCTAGACAAATCGGATTTGTTAAACGTGTCTATGGAGCGATCGGATTAGCTCACGAATAAGAGAACGAAAATTGTACCCGTATCGCAGAATTTTAAGAAGAAATAGAAAAGTAGGTATGCATGTACTTTTTGTTATTCTCATAATAATTAACTTTCATTCTCCTTCAAATGCATATTGAGCGATAGATGTATTAATATTTTACTGATATATTTTAAAGAAACAAATAGACTATAACCTCACTTTGATTTAATATCGTTAACATATTAGTTTATTAAAATAATATTTTTTTTTCAGAGATAATTGCAAATGGATACGAACGAGGGAGAAGTGTTTGAGCAAGAGGATCAGTTTGGTATGTATATATATCGTAAAACAAAGTTTTTATTTTAGTTCTAGCTAAACTAATTATATATTAATATTTGCTTTTTGAAATATATTCCATATCTTTGAAATAAGAAAATGAATACTTTGCAAAAATATATTTTACATCATACGGAAGACATTATAATGTAATTATTAAATTGTTTCACTAAGTTTCTTATTTTCACAGAAAACTGTAGATACCAGTAGACCAATAAAATGACAAAATTGCTGATAGAAGAAATAAGGCAATATACATCAGTATTAAATAAAAAAAATAGTATGCAGAAGAAAATATGGAAGGAAATAGCGAGTAACTTTAAGAAAAGAGGTTACAACGTAACTGACGAACAATGTCCTGTTAAATGGAAGAACTTGAAACAGAAATATAGGTCGGTGCGTGATGCTAATAATGAGACTGGCAGTGCTAAAGTATCTTGGGAATACTTTGATTTAATAGACGAGTTTATGAATACTACACCTGAAGTAACACCTGTATCACTTGCTTCAAACACACGTGGATTTAGACTGCACAAAGAAAATGTATGTACAACAGAAAACAGCGAATCCAACGATGAAAATACAGTACCCAACACTACTTCTACTTCTACTTCTACTACTTCTTCTTCTACTACTTCTCATGGTACAAAGCACAAGTTCAGAAAACGTGCAAGAAAACGTAGAAAAACAGCCTACGTCTTCTGGGGGGCCGCCCTAAGGCCCAACTTGCGCATCGTAGCCACCACTGCCCTCACTGCGACATTCGCCTTTTCTCGGTCCTCATCCTAAGTATCACCCTCGACTCCCAGGAATGTATCATCGGCAAAGCCATTTAGCCAACATCCCGGGAGGAAAGCGATCCGGAGGAGGTAGTCATACCCCAGGTTCCACAGAAGTGGACTAAGTACTGACCTCTGTGGAACCCCCCGCACGACCAACCCGACCCTTACCACACCATCGCGGTCGGTGTACAAGAGGCTCCTGTCCCGGAGGTAGTCATGTATAACTGCCCTTAGATAAGGAGGGACGCCGTGGTGATTTAGCGCCCTCCTTATCACTGGCCACGGCAGAAAGTTAAAGGCGTTAGCTACATCAAAGCTAACGCCCAACACCACCCTGTCGGCCTCCATCGCGGCTTCCAGGAGGGCCCGAATGCGTAAGATCGCATCCACAGTCGATCTGCCCTCCCGGAAGCCATCCTGACCAGTCGCCGATACTGGGTTTCCGAGACCCTGCATCGTTAAAAAATTGTTACCCTCTGCCATGATGGCGTCAAGTATTTAACCCAGGAATTTCGCCGGAATAAATCCGTTGCCCACCGTCACCACGTGGAGGTACCCAGGTTGCAGAAGGATCAAGTTATGGATATACTTTGACTCTATTGTGGTCTTGGACGTCAAATATATATATAAGATTTGTACTTTCTCAGAGTCATGTGGGAAAAACTGCATTTTCAATGTGATTACGTTATGATCTGACGAAAACTTTCGAGTAACAAATTTTAGGCGAATCTGGTCAATTTTCAAAAACTCATCGGGTATACTGGATCTGCCATTTTGAATTTTGGAAAACTGACATCAAATTCGTACTCAGCGACCACAAAAACCCCCGAGTACCAAGTTTCAAGCGAATCGGATCAATTTGAAGAAACATCCGCGATATTGGGTCCGCCATATTGGATCTGCCATTTTTTTATTAAAAAATTTAGTCAATTGTAATTCAAGCTTTTGAATTCGAATCCACGGTCAGAATTTCAAAGCTAGCTTGCGTTTTTTCATTACGGCTCAAAATATAATAAAAAGTATGTTTTTTGAAATTAGAAAAAAAAACGAACCAATTAACTTTTGAATTCTGACCTCGGATTCGGATTCAGCGACCCAAAATACGTAAGAATTGACTAGTCCGGTCCGCCAGACAGAAATTTCATTTTTTTTGTGGGGCTGTGTAATCAATTGGCTGACCAATTAACTAAGGCGCTACCAAGAGATAAGTTCCATCGTTTAAAGTAAAAGAGTGGCGTATTATCGTGTAATAGTTAATATTTTTTGTCGAGTGGGAGTGTTGAGTATTGCGACGAAAAATAGGACCGCTAGGGCAAGATATATTGAAATGTATCAAGAACAATAGATCGCGGCGTGGAGTATCGATAAATCGCTGCGTTTATGACTCCCCACCATTAGGGCCGCGTTTCCGTAGCGTCGCGCACTTCTCATCTATCCACGTAAGCACACACTGTCTTTCAAGCGTGTCTCGAGGAATGTCGTATTTCCGCTCTTGCAAGTATTCCACGTATTATTCTACAGCGCGTTCGCTGTCTTTTCTTGATTGTAATAAAGCACGATATTAATACACACGAGTGTCGTGATCTTTGCAATAAACCTTAGCCCCTAATAATAAAATAAACAAGAAATTATTTTAAAAAATTACCTCACAACAGAAATTCGACCAATTAACAATACTGCATGAAGAAAGTTTAAGTTCTTATTCAAGAAAATTTTGACGTTGCGGCCTAATTGTAAGAAAGTATACGATAAATCGACATATTGTTTGTAAATCCAAATGAGCATGTGAGAACCACGTATTGTCAATTAATTTAATATCGCATTTTTGTTTGATTCGCTTTTATGATTGTTGCGAACATATTGAACATTATAGCATCGAATTAATAATGTATTGCAATTAAAATTCATTAGGCTGTTGCATTTAGGACACCGCGCAGAACTTTATGGTCTATTAAATAATCGACAAGTTTGTCGTAATTATCACAAATTCTTAAAAATCCGTACAGCTTCATATTGTAACGTGTTAACTCACTGTAGGATTGTCACACTCTAAGTAGAAGTATGAGACTACACTATCACAAATAATAACACGAGAAATGTAAACAAACATAGCACATTGAATGTACTTGTACAATATACGTATTGTAGTTATATATATACTTTTCAATATACCAACTATTCTCTGCTTTAATAAAAAGACTTTATTTTTATTAATGATTTAGCGTGGATTAAAGTTTGAATCCAACATTTCTTTAAAATAAACACTATAACTGTAGATACGACTATACGTCGATTTCGTTCAAGTTCCTACAAATTTTAAAAAACATTTAATAAATATACTAATTTAATATAGTTATCAACTAAAATTAAAAGAATTATCTGGTAATTTAAATTAAAAAAAAAAAGTTAAAAAAGGCGTCAAGTACACGCATAGTAGTGTATATGTTCTTACCTCGAAAAAAAAAGAAAGTGGTAGTATTATACCTCGAAAAAACCTAAGTAACAAGTGGTAGACGTAATCTTTATATCTCGAAAAATCTCGAAAAAATCTAAACAGTAGTTTCTTTATTTCCGAAAAATTATAACCCAAGTGATACACATCACAAAATTATGTTATTTTATCAAAAAGAAGAGTCGCGCTTCAAGTGATCTATTCCAATTACAAAAAAGAAATTATATCTTTTTAAATTACAGCGCCAATTACAGAGAGAACATATATATTGCCTCAAGAAATAATTGTTGCACTACTTTGAAAAATATTTACATTGTGTCAATTAGAAAAGAATGTATGATAACAATTTTATAAGATTAAAAAATTTTATTTAAATTTAACAAGGGAATACAAGATATTTAAATACAAAGTTTACATGTGTATTTTTTAGTGGTCACAAAGAATTACAGAGGTAACAGTACAAAATAAAAATATTTTATTAAA